TATACAGTAAATAGTAAATCTGATTCAATATGAATTCCTCGGCATTGTTATCAATGCAAAGCGCCTTCAGACGAAGTCGAAAATTGAAAAATTCTTACAGTTTTTCCTAGTCATCGAACATAGTACTTTGATATTCTATAGAATATCAAATTACTATTAGTCCAGTGAAGGAGAGAAAAACTGAGCTAATTGTCTCCGTTTGCGGCAAAAACTTGATATAATGGTAATTCGACGAAATACATAAAAAATGTTCAGAGGTTTATCTTCGTATTTGCAAAAATAAGCGAGAAATATTGGTAAGACGTGATTGTAAGAGTAGGGGACAAGCCCCGCCTTTTCGTCGGTCTTTACACGCGAGCGAACTATTGTGCGTTATCTTGGGGTCTCTCGGTCGTGAATGCGAGTGCGAGTGAGAAAAGAAATGGATATTTCTCCCTTTCTAATTTTTCTTTCCGCAGCGAGAATTTTTCGTTTTGACGATCGAGTGTCGAGCGTTCTGTATATCTATATATATATATCGGCATATAAGCACGGCGTTTTTAAATCGAATCTTGATGCTTATAGCACGCGGTTTTGTTATTTATTGTAGGTAGTATCGTCTCTGCTTCACGCTCCGGTTATAAACGTTTGATTCTTCGTGGTGGAAATTTTTTTTTTATAAATTTTTCTATCCTTAAGTTATACAAATTCTTTTTACATTTCTTAATTTTTAATTTTATACAGGAAAAAAAAATTGTGTATTTGTATTTGTGCAAATAAAGAAAGATTTATTACTAGAATTACAGTTAAAATTTTATTTTTTACATATATAATCATTGTCAGAAAACTTACAAGAATTTAAAAATAATAAACAATTTATTGTTCCTAATTTTTTTGTAATAATTTTAATTTTAAGTAAGTAAAATTTTAACTTAAAAAATTACAAAAAATTGTGTAAAATTTTAACTATTTTTACGGAGACAATTAGCTCAGTTTTTCTCTCCTTCACTGGACTAATAGTAATTTGATATTCTATAGAATATCAAAGTACTATGTTCGATGCCTAGGTAAAACTGGAAGAATTTTTCAATTTTCGACTTCGTCTGAAGGCGCTTTGCATTGATAACAATGCCGAGGAACTACTAGCAATGACTGATTTCCGACTTCGACGGTAACATATATAAGCTTACAATTAATGAAAAATTGTAATTATTTAGAAATAACAATATATCATTTATTATTATTACATATAGGTCGTTTATTTCACTTCGTTGTTTCCATACGCATTGCTAGCAGTTTTATTAGTAAGAGGCCTAACTTTACCAGGTGCGATTGAAGGTCTGAAATATTACGCTACACCAAATCTTACGAAACTTGGTGATCCAGAGGTAAACACAAATTTTTTCGAATTTCATAATTGTATTATAGAACGTCACGATTAAAAATATCTTGTAATTTTATTTTTAAAATAAATAAAAATTGTAGGTATGGATAGATGCAGTGACGCAAATATTCTTCTCTTATGCACTGGGACTAGGTGCTCTCGTTGCGCTCGGAAGTTACAACAAATTTAATAATAATGTTTATAAGTATGTATATACAATTAAACAATATATATTTTTTTATTAAAATTACAATTAAATATATTATTTAAGTTAGATTATATTGATAATTAATGTGTTCTTTCATTGCAGAGATGCTCTTATAGTTTGTACAGTTAATTCATGTACAAGTATGCTCAGTGGTGTAGTCATATTTTCTGTGGTGGGTTTTATGGCACAAGAACAAAATAAACCAGTTGCCGACGTTGCTGCTTCCGGTAATTTTTTTTTGTACGTTTCACTCAAATAATTTCTATCACGCTTTTGATCTCATTTTAAAATTCTTTATACTAGGTCCAGGTTTAGCTTTCTTAGTTTATCCTTCGGCAGTACTTCAATTGCCCGGGGCTTCGATTTGGTCGTGTTTATTTTTCATAATGCTTTTATTGATCGGTCTGGATAGTCAGGTAAACGACAATTTGATAATTGATATTTTACAAATATTTTACAAATAAGATATTATGAAAAATGTATTATTTAACAGTTTTGTACCGTGGAAGGCTTTATAACTGCAGCTGTTGATGAATGGCCGCAACTTTTAAGAAAACGCAAGGAAATATTCATCGCTTTTGTTTGTTTTATCTCGTATCTAATTGGTCTTTTGTGCATAACTGAGGTAAGCGTTATATGTATACAAAAAATTGCAACGTAACGTTTATTTTTACTTTGAACATACATTTTATTTAACTATGTTGATATTAGGGAGGAATGTACGTGTTTCAACTTTTGGATTCCTACGCCGTAAGTGGGTTTTGTCTTCTATTTTTAATGTTTTTCGAGTGTATCGCAGTATCATGGGCATTCGGAGTTAATCGTTTTTATGATGGTATACGAGATATGATCGGTTACTATCCCTGTTGCTGGTGGAAGATATGTTGGCTATTCACTACACCAGCGGTTTGTGTGGTAAAATTATTATTGCATACAATAATTTTTTGTATATTATTTTGGTTTAAGATTTAATGATAATAATTGTTTTTCTTTATATATAGGGTGTATTTATATTTAATATAATTAAATTTAGCCCTGTTAAATACCTTTCATACGAATACCCATGGTGGAGTCATCTTTTGGGGTGGATGTGTGGTTTATCATCTATGATGTGTATTCCCATTTATATGGTTTATATTTGGTGTGTTACACCTGGAACTACCTCAGAGGTATGTTATTGGAATATGAGCAATACTTTATTAATATGTATGTGATAACATAATTTTAATTCTTTTTTTTATAGAAATTTAGAAAGCTTGTAAGAATAGAAGAAGATGTTGCAACATTACGTAGGAAATTAAATACTACAAAAACTGCTGCCATTAATTCAGACCTTGAATTATAAGTTTTTAATATTATTATTATTTTTTATATATTGTAAATAATGTGTTGTCAGTGAACTCGTTTATATTAAACATGAAAAATAATATCATATGAAATATTAATAAGAAATAAGAGAGAGAGAGAGAGAGAAAGAAAGAGATGGAGAAAAAGAGAGATATGAACAATATATGAAATAATGTAATTATTAATGATAACAATATTTTCCAGATAAAGATTAAGATTAAATATAGTTTAATACATCGCTAATTACGGACATATTCACGTAACATACATTATTCATAATAGCACATATTCAAAATGATATTTCCTTATATTTGACACAAGAAATATTGTATCTTAAAAAATAAATTTCGTAAATTCTACGATAATACAAATGTGTGATAGTGTTTTGATCTTTCGAGTATAATTTTATGCACAATATTTAAAAGATATTATTAAACTATTTAGTCTGACTTTTCTTTATTTTGCATCTCTTTTATACGATCAATTAATTGTTCTTTCCATTCTTCCTCAGAAATAGTATTTGCCCATTCTGGAATTGCAGTGGACGGTAATGTAAAACTAGCCATCATTGATTTAACTTGATTAATTTTATCTGTGTCCATGTCTATATTAGATCTATTAGATGGAGATGACCATACTTCTATTGTTTCGCTAAAACAAAGCTGAAATGTTTATAAATAAATTGATTAGATAATTAATGAAATGTAATAATTTCTAATATTTTCACCTGTTGTGAATCATTTAATGATACAGGTATCGCATGATTTATTTCTCCAGTTTGAGATATCCATTCGTCGTCCTGAAAATATTATTGTGAATATGAAAACGATAATGAAATAATTATGTATATATGCACGTATAATTAATATTTGAAAATATATTATTACAAACTTCATCGTCTTCTAATATAAGATCGCTATCAGTAGGTAGTTGAGATAATGGCATATATCCAGTCATTCCAACATCTTCATCTTCACTTTCAGAATCTGTTGTCATCCTTGTATCGACGGTTAAATTAGGTACATTTAAACTTTCTTTTATAGGTTCTTCAGTAGGTTCAGGAGACATTGTGCGTTAGGATATATTACATTAAACATATTTTTTATAATTATATATTTTTAATCTTTTCTTTTGTGTACCCTATTTAAAGTTGATAGTTGAAAAATATTTACTATTATTTTTTTATTATATACCTAACCTTTCTTTTTCCTAAAAACAAATGTTATTGTTTTTTAATATCATTAAATTATTTTACATTTATGTGACGAAACAATAAAGATTTATTAAATTTTATTAATTTATAAACAAATATATATATATATATATAATTAAATTATTTTACATTTATGTGACGAAACAATAAAGATTTATTAAATTTTATTAATTTATAAACAAATATATATATATATATATATATCGAATTAAATATATCAGAAATTAGAACATTTGTAAATACCCATAATGTTTGACACATCACAGCTGATTCTAGAAATTCGACGTCATAATATTGAATATGGTGAAAGGGCGCCATCTTCCAATAAACGCGCGAAAATATAAATTTGAAAAAAACAAGACGCAACCAATGGTGAAAAATAAATTATTTAAGGAATAAAATAAAACATATTTAATCATTGGAATACTAACACAAAACAACTATAACTATCTAATACGCTTAAAATATAATTAAAAAAATTTAAATTTCGAACAATATTATAAACAATTTGAAATTAAAAAACCTTTAACTTTAGTATTATTACTATTATTATTATTATTATTATTATTATTACTATTATTATTATTATTATTAAATAAATACAATAAAAATAAAAACAATAAAATCGCTCCTAGAAATAGCAATAAAAAAAAGCTATTATAACAGCACGAAGTCCTAATAAAAAAGAAGAAGAAATAAAAATAATAAAATAATAATTAACAAATGTTTATTAGAATTACGAAGAATACATTGATAATCGTAGAAAATTGTAGCAGGAAAGCACAGCAGAATTTATTGCGCTATATCTAACTTGGATTACATTATCAGAACGTTGATTAAACCATCTAAAATTGTGACTACTAATCGCGAATGTCATTTTGTCCTCTAACTTTATTTCGTCATTAAACTGCTCGTTCTTTCTCTCTCACGACAGAAAAAAATAAATAAGAATAAAAAGATTCATAGAAGAAACATAAATTGGAGGAAGACGTGTATAAAGTGGGAGTAATTAATCACTGAACTTGCGTTTACTTGAAATACTTCGAATGTCTGTCGTAATTAATTAAGCTAATGACTAGGGCTCCAAGTTTTATCGTACATCACAGAGAAGAAGAAATCACATAGGATGAATGGTGCCCCGCTACTAAACCGAGTGCAGTAGTAATCCAGTGCAACGTCGAGTGGTATCGCACAAGAAGACATGTCACTTGTTGAATCTTACATTCTTTTAGCAACTGCCTTCATATCGGGTAAAAAAACAAGAGTATAACACTCGACATAATTAAAATTAACATAAACACTGACACGTATCTGAGTACATAATATCAGGAATAAATATATCTATTATAATTCGTAAAAAGTTGATGATAATTAACATTTGATCATGACTTTTCAGCTTATGCGCATCCACAAAACACGCTGTTAAACGACGTAGAAACGGTCATCAAGTCGGTTTTTAAGGTACCAAGAGAACCAGCTACGTTTAATTTATATACCAGGTATGATAATATAAAATGTTATTTCTCTTATTTTCTTATGATTAACGGTAAAAAAAGTATAAAATTAGCATCGTCATTAATTTGTGCATAAATCAATACACATACGTATGAAATTTAATAATATAATAAATAAAAAAATGATGTTCGCTTTATACCTTGTACATTACTCACAATCAAATTATGATCAATATGCAAAGTCGCGAGGTCGAAGATTCGAACGTTTGCCCTTTCTTGTCGTGGATCGATCGATATGAGAAAATTTTTGCTGGTGCCGGACCCAATGTTATGCGCTGCTATAAACGAATCATTAATTTTTTAAATGATACGTGCAATCAAAGAGCGTCCGCATTCTATTCTCAGCGCTGATGCTCGACTTATTATCATTCATGCGTAAATATCGCAGACGCGCCTCCACTTCTTTTTATTCTGCTTTTTCATCTTCATCTTCTTCTTCTTCTTTCATTACGTCTTATGCCGATAGTCCCGATCAAAAAAGGAGGATAAAATGAGGCGCCACTATTAAAGATGGATGTTAAACTGGTGTCTCGATATTTTCTTGCTTAAAGAAAATAATTTAAGGGAGAATTGTGCCTTTTCATTTTTATTAATTAATTTTATTAATTCCTTTTGATATAATATCTTTTGCATTGGATAAAATGAAATAACGAAGGATGAAATTATTAACTTCTTTTTTAATTAACGTAACGATCTAAATACCGATGAATTAAATATAATTATATGATTATACAGGGAAAATCCTTTCGGTGAGGAACAATTATTCTTGAATAATACAGAAGTCCTTTATGCATCTCACTTTAACGAAAGTCGTCCAACCAAATTCATCGTTCATGGATTTAGCGATACTGGCAATGAAGTATGGATACGAGGACTGATAGACGGTGAGCGTTATTATTAAAATAGAATAAAAAATAATAAAAAATAAAACGAAAGAAAAGAAGAATTTTCTAGAATACTGAAATGTCGAAGAGAAGTTAAAGAAATTTCATGACAATCATGGTCAAATCGTTTCGGTAAACACGGAATCGACGCCGTCAGGTTCAAGGGTCAACACGATAACGCATTTAATTGATCGTTTTAAGAAACTAATGCTCCTTATCTTGTAGTCATTCCTAAGATTTTGACGTAATTTCAAGAAGAAGAAAAAAACTAATCTGATTTCTCATCGAACTTTTTTTAAGAGAATCATTGAAATGAAAGTTATAATATAAATAATGCATACAAATTCGAATAATAATAATTGAAAAGACAATATTATTTTCAGCATATTTGTTACACGAAGATGTAAATGTAATAGTTGTTGGTTGGGGTATATTAGCAACAGACGTTTATCCAATAGCTGCAAATAACACACGCAAAGTTGGAGAATTCCTTGGTGATTTTCTCGAATTTCTTAACAGAGAATCAAATCTTGAGTATAAAGATGTTCATATCATCGGTCATAGTTTGGGTTCTCACGTGGCAGGTTTTGCTGGTGCTTGTCTCGACGGTCGTATCGGTAGAATAACTGGTAAGAGCAATTTAAAGATCATTGATCATGATTTTCATAAAATATTGAATACAAAATAATCGTTTAAAGGTCTGGATCCTGCGAGTCCTTTGTTTGAAACGATTTCTGGAATCGTTGACCCAGAATTTCGATTGGATCCTACGGATGCACAATTTGTTGACGTTATTCACACAAGTGGACCAGCTTTTGGATTTTTAGCACCATTAGGTCATGCTGATTTTTATCCCAATAATGGAGAATTCCCTCAACCTGGATGTTCTTTCTTACCAACGACCAGTTAGTTTATTTTGAATAGTACAAAAATGTGTTATCGAAATTTTATAAATTATTCATATATGTTGACATTGTATTTTTTGGTTACTTTGTATTTGCAGCCTATTGTAGTCATTCTCGTGCACATCAGTTTATGACGGAGAGCATTGGCAGTACTTCGGGATTTAAAGCAAGAACTTGTGAAAGTTGGGAAAAATATAAGGAAGGTCGTTGCGATTACAATCCGATCGTCTTAATGGGAGAATACGCATCCGCACACACATCGTAAGATTTTTTAAATATTTATTAATTTTAAAAATTCTCCCAAAAATATAAATATTAACGACTACCTTTAACAACAGATTACGAGGAAAATTCTACTTGTCCACTAACAATGAACCACCGTTCGCAATAGAATGAGGAATTATTAATCGTTAATCGAACTTGAAATGGAAGACAATAACGATCGTGTATATATATGCGATTAAATAATCAGTACTAGTCATTTGTAAGTTACTTTATTTATGTAGAATTACGTGTTTGCTTACGCATTATGCACACATGCACGTGTACCTCAATTTTCATTCGGATCTCCATAAAGTTTCATTTGCGATTGTTTGATTGTATACCAAAACAAATAAATTAATTAAAAAATCTCTACATACATATGTAAGTACAAATTACGATGTTAATTAAGTTCAATAGGTTCAATGTGAAAATCTTTTATTTTCTCTCTCTGTACCTCGCACGATAAATAAATAATCGTATGGTTGGGTGTATAGTATGTAATATTTCATGTTCCTGTCACTTTTCGTTACGTTACGCGAATATAATCGATGTTCATTAAAGAATACGACTGATTAATAAATGAAGAAACAAAAGTATTGAACTCATCAATATCTTGCAAACAAGCGCAAGAATTTGTTTCTTATCATGTATCGCTTCTATCTTCAATGCTTCATGGTGTTCAATATACTTATTTACATATCCTGTATCAACGAAAATGATTTCATTCGAGATTACTTTGAACATAGAAAAATTCCTTATGTCGTGGGATTTTCTTGTTACAACGTGACGAGTAAGTGTATTAATTATTGTGTGGTAAATTGATTGTCATTTTTTTATGGTCGTTTTATCTTTTTTTGTCTTCGAAACAGATAACATCAAATTGGTGAGATCGTTCAACGATATACATACTTACGTTGCAATCTTAAAGAATGAATATTTGGCTAAATCCGATAAAATTTTACAGAGATTTTTGAACCCCAATAATCATTATTTAGGCATATTTTTAGATTTGAGATGCGAAAATCAAAACGTTAGCAGACTTATTTCGAAAGTATGGTGAAGATTATTACATCGTTTATGAGATTAAATTATCTTTGTATCTGATTTATTTATTTAATCGTTAACATTTATTTAGGCATCGAAACATTACATGTATGACGAATCACACAAATGGCTGATCATTGGTCATAATTTAAAAGAAAGTTTGAAAATCATCGACGATAGTACTTTTAATATCGCTACTGATGTAATTATTGCTGAACCATCGACTCGTGGTTACATTTTATACGATGTTTATAATTTATGCAAGGATCATGGTGGATCCTTACAAACTGTATTATTTGGTACTTGGCACAAAGAAACTGGTTTGTATGTTACATTGGTCAAACACAAATTCAGTAGAAGGGCGAATTTTCAAGGAATGAAATTCAATGTTGGTGTACTCGTGAGTATTTAATTTTCAAATATTTTTATTACACATATAAGTCATAATTAATATAAAAATATTTCTTCCTACAGCTCGATCACAAATTATCGAATATTCCAATCGAAAAATATTTATTGGATTATGACAAAAGATCGAAAGATAGTCATTCGAAATTTATGTACGCTATTTTGATTCATATTGCTGAACTCTACAATTTTACGTAAATAAATATTCAAACTCTTGCTAATTTACTGTATAAATATTTTTTATAAATTTGATTTGGTTTGATCTTATATTAGAATGAATATTACGGAAATAGATCCATGGCAAAAACGTGGTGGTAATCGTGGACCAGTATTCGCAGCATTTGAAGAAGGTATAATAGATATTTGTGTAAATCCAACCATGATTATTACTGAAAGATTAAATTATGGCGACATTATTGCTCCTGTCTGGCCTGTACGGTACATAACGCACACATACATATACTTAAATATTTAGATATAATTATAATTATATTTTTTATTTTCCTTTAAAGTAATTTTTTTTTAAACAGGACATGCTTTTTATTTCGTATGATATCATCTACTCAATTACGAGCAACGCAATTCATACGACCATTAGCTATTCGTGTATGGTACGCTATGTTAATTATAATAGCTCTCACAGCATTTATTTTACTCATTGTTTTAAGAAAAGAAGGTTTTCATGATTTCATCGAACTCTGTGGGATTTCGATACTTTCTTCTATGGGAGCTTTATCGCAACAAGGTTCGATTACCTAAATAACATAATTATCAATAAAAATATGTATATTATAATTAACATTAATAATAATAAATCATTATTTTTTACACTAGCGTCAGCTGTAATTCCTTTAGGAGTTGCGGGTCGTATTGCATTTTTACATATCATGTTCTTCAGTTTGTTAATCTTCAATTATTATTCAGCTAGTATGGTCTCGAATCGTTTAAAAAATATAGGAGATAAAATGAATGATTCATTAATTAGCTTAGCCAATAGTAATTTTAAGATTGCCATGGAACCTACTCAGTATATTAAGTCGTTATTACAGGTAAACTATAAAAACACATGTAAGTACAGAGTAAGCCTAAAAATTTCTAGCTTTATTGTTTAACAATCTAATTGTCAGAAAGAAAGTTTATTTTCTTAACAAAATATAATTGATTTTGAAACTTTTAGTTGACTCTGTGAATGTATTAAATATTTAATGTACTGTAAATACTGTATATATATTGCAGGAACCAAATTTGGAAGTAAGATATTTTTATCAAAATCGTTGGCTAAAACTTTCTGAATCAACGAGACACTTGCCAATAGAGGAAGGATTAAATCGTGTAGCTCAAGGTGGTTTTGCTTATCACACGTTAACAGAATCAGCTTATCCATATATCGAAAAAACTTTTGAAACTCGTATGATCTGCGAATTGATGGAAGTTCATCTTCTTCGAACGACTTTAGGACTATGGACCAGACAAAACAGTCCTTTTACTGAAATCCTAAGAATTGGGTATAAAAATGATTAGTATTTTTTTAACGTATTCATAAGAAAACATTTCTTCTTTAGATTTACGAAAATGAACAATGCGGGTTTACGAGATCGTGAATTGAAACGTTGGTCTGCTAGAAAACCTCGTTGTCCATCAAACATACTTATAGCTGAAGCCATATCGATTCAAGAAGCTACCCCTGTTTTGTTGTTCTTAATCGTTGGCATGGTTTTATCATTGAGTGTATGCGCCATCGAAAATATCATTTTTTGGTTTTGGTCTAAAAGGTAGAAATTAAACTATTTTTGATAATAAAAAATATCAATAAAAAATTCTTCTACGTATATTACATTTATAGATCATTGATAGATCAATAAGAAACATATGGATTGATACACAAGTAGCAGAAATGTTTCTTAATTATTACCAATTATAGATCGACGTAACTAAGAAAATATTTAGAAAGATTAGAATTATTAATAACCTTTCTATGTTAAATAGTTCTATGAATAAATAAATAAATATTTAAAAATTTATAATACTCACTATAGATCGATGTAGCTAAGGAAATATTTAAAAAGATAAGAATTATTAATAATCTTCTAGTTCTATGAATGTATGAATAAATAAATATATTTTTGAAAAATCTATAAACCGCTTATATAAAAATATATCCTTACAATATTAGAATAGAAAAAGTACTACTCATAATGACATCAGCGTTCGATCGTATAACAATTGAAGAGATAATAAAAAAAGATGAATATCAGAGTTATTATTTTATTATATATCATTCTACATACTAATGCCGAGGACAATGATTTCATTAGTGATTATTTTGCATTTAAAAATGTTAAGAATATTGTTGGATTTTCGTGCGGTGATGTTACGAGTACGTAATTATAACAAAATATCTTTAAAAACACACCAATCAACTTCTATGAAACATTGAATTTTTCACCAGGTAATTTTAATCTTTTGAGAAAGCTGAATCATTTAGGAACCTTCACGATCATAAAAGATTTCTATTCAAATCCAGACATACGTTTGATTTTAAACAGCGATCATTGGGCACTAGGTGTTTTCGTAGATCTACGTTGTCGTAATGAAAGTCTTGAATATATTTTTTCTGATGTAAGATACATACACTCTAAAAAATAATTTCAAGGTGTTCAATCTTTGGAAAGATATAAAAATAAAAAAAATTTTTTAAATCTATTTTATTGATCAGAGTTCGGAACATCGCATGTACAGCTATTTATACAGTTGGTTGATATTAGGATCAAATCTGAATCAAAGCATATCGATTTTGAACGATACAGCTTACAGCATGGCCACTGACGTAGTTGTTGCTATACCTAATCAAAATGGTTATGAAATGTATGATGTATTTAATCATTGCAAATATCGGGGTGGTTCACTAAACGTCATTAAATATGGCACCTGGAATCCTCATGGAAATTTGAATATTTATTTAAAGGAACCAAAATTGATCAGAAGAGGAAATTTGAATGGTTTAAGATTAAAAATAGCTGGTGTAGTAAGTATTTCATCCTTTTTTTTAATTTTACTTTTAACGATTTTCAATGATTAGTATCTACATATTTTTTGTAGATTCAATACAGGCCTAAAAATATGCGATTGGTTGATTACATGAAAGATATCAATACTAGATCCTTAGAAAGTATGCACAAATTTGTATACGCTATGATATCACACACTGGTGATCTTTTTAATTTTACGTAATTATGATTTTTTTTTTATATATATAAACTTAATTATTATGAAATGATTTACTCACACACATACGTATTTATACAACAGATAATTTTTTTTATATAGCATACATGCAGGAGAAATATATTATTGGGATAGAAATAGTATACACGGACGAATGTTTGAACTTCTAAAAGACAATTATATCGATATTGCCAGCAATCCGAGAGTTATGGTGTCCGAAAGATTAGAATTTGCTAGTCTGATCGGCGCAGCTTGGCCAGTTCGGTTAGAAAAATAAATTTCTTTTTTATTTAAAATACACTTGTCGCATGTAATTATATTTTTACAGACCCTGCTTTATGTTACTCTCAACTCCAACGAAAAAAATTAAATTGGATTTGTTCCTAAAACCTTTTACAACAGGTATTTGGGATGCTTATGCACTTTTCATGATCATTTCTATGATCATCGTCGGATTAATATTGAAACGTGAAAATGTGAAAAGCGAAAAAGGTTTTGGAGCTGTAGTGCTAACTATTGGTATCATGGGTCAACAAGGTACACTTTAATTTCTCTCTCTTTCATTTTTATATATATAAGAGAAAAATAAATAGAAATTTATAATAAATTTAAATATTTTATCTTAGGAGCATATTTATTTCCAAGAAGTTTGGTCGGTCGTATGGCCGTGGTACAAATACTCCTTTTCAGCTGGATGATGTACAATTATTATTCCTGTAGTATTGTTTCGGCTCGTTTGAGTGAACCGTTTGATAAAATAGAAGATTCTGTTGCTGTACTTGCCGATACGCATATGCGTATTGCTGCTGAAGCTGTACCATATTTGAATTATCTATTAAAAGTATAATACTGTTAAATCATTATTATACAGGGTGTCCCAAAAGTCATTTTTCCGAATAGAAAAACATTTATTATCTATTTAAATGTTGTGTACAATGTTTTCATATTATAGGTCTGCGTAAAGATTGTTTTTGGTAAAGCAACTCTTGGGACACTCTGTATTTTATGTCGAACGATATAAAATGTTCATTAATATTTATTCTATTTTTAGAAATGGAATTGGGAATCAGATTATTTCAGGAAAAAACGTTGGGATCCTTTGCCACAATCAAAAAGATATTTGCCTATAGAAGAAGGTATCAGACAAGTTGGGCAAGGTATTCTTGCTTATCACACAGATCCCAACACTGCTTATCCCTACATCGAAAAGATGTTTGATTCCAGTCAGATATGTCAACTTACGGAAATTCATCTCTTCAAGGAATCAGTCATGGGAATGTATTCTAGTCACAATGCTCAATTTTTGGAAATAGCGAGAGTAGGGTAAAGTATCTTAATAATTTTATTATTCCCTTTTACAATAGAATTCATGTACGATTATATAATTTTATTTAAGTCTAATCAAAATGCAAAGCAGTGGTTTAAGAAGTCGGCAAATTAAGTATTGGTCCTCAAAAAAGCCTCAGTGTCAACAAGATGCTTTGTCTACGCGAAGTATTACTATTTACGAAACAGCACCAGCCTTTATTTTACTGTCATTAGGTGTTTTAATTTCAAGTGGTATTTGCTTGATAGAAAATATTTATTTTTATCGATTCATACAGTAAGTTGTTCTACATTGTTGTTCTTATGTTATCCATACATTCGAGATATATTTGGAAATTTTTATGATTTTCTTTTTTCAAAATTGCAGAAAATTTACATCGGAAAGAGACAATTCTAGCTTATCGAAGCAAAGTAGTAATAAAACAGATAGCAATAATGGACTTCAATTACTGAGTATTTGATTTACTAAAATATTATATTTTACTATAACTTAAAACTATAACTTTGTATATTAATATTGTTTCGATGTAATCCAAATGATTAATCCAAGTAGAAATAGAGGGTAATAGAAATAAAGAGAAATCGATATTGTAATGCTAACTGTAATTTTTTAATCTACAGTGAATTCCATTAGTCTGTAGTACTTTAAATAATAAGTTATTTTTCCTGTGTTCGATTGCAGTCGTGTACGAAACTGACAGAACGTCACATGAAAAATAGAAAACTAACTATAGACTTCTATCTTGAAGAAGAACAAATACGGAAAGTCTAGTTTGTCGTTCAAATCCTGTTTTCGTGTACATGTATTTTAAGAAAAAGTTATAATAATGTATATTAAAAATATACTTATTATTCTATTTTTTCATCTTGCTTTTGCGCAAAATAACGAAATCATTCGAGATTATTTTATTTACAAAAGAGTATCTATTGTCGTTGGATTTTCCTGTGGGAATATTACTAGTGAGTAGAAACTTACTTTGCATAGTCAGATTGTTTTTCCTTTTTGTTTGTTGTAATTTTCTTTAAAAAATTCTTTAATAATTATGATTATAATTAATCAGTCGATCGATCTGTATAGATGATTTTCAGATAATCAAGATGTTAAACAAAGTAGGAATTTCGGCATCTATAAAAGGACCATCTGTAGAATACAATTTTTACAAATTCTTAAACGTTAGTTATTGGAGATTAGGTGTTTTCGTAGATTTACGATGTCAAGATCAAAATGCAAGAGCGATTTTTAATCAAGTATGACTGTTATCGTTACTTTCGATTTTTAGAGTAAAGTTTCCAAAAAAATGATCTATTTAATTTTTAATTATATGAATTATAATTTTAATTTAAAAAACGCGATGTTTACTCTGAGATCTGATAAAAAGTTGATTAAAAAAATGTCAAGAATTGAGAAAATTATATAATAATATATAATAATTTTATTATATTTATATATATATATATATAATTTTGTAATAATATGCAATTCAATTTAGAGTACTAGTTATCGTATGTACGATTATGCATATAATTGGTTGGTATTGGCAAAAAATATGAGTTACTGTTTGCATAAATTAAATGATACTGCCTTCAGTATTATCACGGACTTTGTCGTTTCCATTCCAAATTATGATTATTACGAATTATACGATATTTACAATCCTAATAAAGAACGAGGTGGTATACTCAACATAACCAGATACGCAACATGGAATAAAGATACTGGATTGAAGATATTTTTATCAAAAGCAAAAATTTTAAGAAGATGGAACTTTCACAAATTGAAGGTCATTGTATCTAGTGCTGTGAGTGAATATAAAATAATTTTTTTGATCTGATAATCTATCAACTAACAAAAAAAATTATATTTTAGTTAGAAAGAAAACCCGAAAATATTCCTTTACTAGATTATTTAGAAGACCACGATAATATTAATTTGGAAGATTGGCCTAAATTTGGTTTTACTTTGGTAGGACTTTTTGCCGACATTTTTAATCTTAGGTAAAACATTTTTTTTATATATTAAGCTATAAATTATTTTCTAGCATTGAATATTTTAATTCTTAATGAAAAATGATTATGTTTCTAATAGCATGCATGTTAAAGCATTCACTAAATGGTCGAACTATACTAACGGACCTATGATGGATTCTTTGATTGAAGGAACTGTTGATATAGGATATCAACCCTCTCTTATTGTTCCTAAAAGACTTGATGTTGCTAAAGTGCTTATGGAAATTATGCCTGCACGGTAATAAATTTTATTATAAAAATTGATTACTTTTATTTTTACTTTTTGATTAATCTATAAGTATTTATTTCGTAGTACGTGCTTTATGTTTTTAACTCTACCGTCGACAACGATACAAATAAGTAGCATTTTTCGGCCATTAGCTTGGAACTCCTGGTACATGATTTTCACTTGTTTTATTATTTCTTTTTTGATTTTTTCATTTGTCATTAAATCAGAGCATATTAAAACTCAGGATTATGGAAGTTCATTGTTAACAACTTTGGGTGCCATATGTCAACAAGGTACGAAATATTAAACATGTAAATTTGTTCAATATACATTTTCTAATCTAATGAATTTAATTAGGTGCACAAAACATGCCTTTTAAATTTGCCAGTCGTATTGCTCTTTTCCAAATAGGAGTTTATGGCTTATTAATATACAATTATTATTCAGCAGCAATAGTATCGGCACGTTTAAACATACCACTTAATAAATTAAATGATTCTTTGTATATATTAGTAGCTAGCAAAATGAAACTATCATCAGAAAATACTGTTGTTATGAATATTTTATTACAGGTAATCTTAAGTCTTTTAAATCGTATATATCAAATGAATTACGTTAATGTAGCAGCACTATTCTTAATAAAAATTGATCAATTATCTAACGATTATAAATAATATTTCTTAGGATACTAATCCAGAGATGATATATTTTAAAAATTATTGGTCGCAAATACCACAACAACAAAAAATAATGGAAGTAGAGGAAGGGGTAAGACAAATAATGGATGGCGGTTTTGCTTATCATAGCATTCCTGAACATGCATATTATTACATGAATAATTATTTCGATCAAAAAATGATATGCCAATTAACAGAAATTCATTGGCTTAGACCAACAAGAGTAGCTCTTTATACAAATAAAAAAGGACATTATCACGAAGTTGGAAAGATAGGGTATGATTAAATCTTATAAATTTATTTTTTACTATAATTATATATAATTATAAGATTTTTTGTGAGGGATAATTGTTTTAAATTTAGGCTCATGAAAATTTTTGCCACGGGTCTTCTCGAACGAGAATTAAAAAGAACCTTCGTTCGGAAACCCTATTGTAAACATGATGCAAGTTCCATAGAAAGTGTAACTATATATGAAGCAGCTCCAATCATATTACTTTTAATAAGTGGTATGATATTATCTATTATTATTTGTTTAATAGAAAATATTATATTCTTAATAACGAAACCTAAACAATAGTATAATATTAAGTTAAAATAAAATATCAATGTAATATAGTGTTTTTTTAAAAACAAAATTATTTCAATATATCTCTTTGTAAACAAAATACGATATTAGAAAAAAACAGAGATATTCTAATAGATATAATTATAAAAAATTTAATAGCAATCGCGTGTTGAAATAAAAGTCTCCGTCTTTTTACAAATATTATAACAATTATTTATATCCAAAATTAAAACTTGTACATTGTGATACAATTTGATTTTTGAATAAATCTTTAAAAAATGTGTGAAAATTATCATTTATGTAACTTACAAGGGCTACACCAAAGGAATTTAACTCTGATATTTTTTAAACTTTTCATAGTTTTAGGGGTCCATTAAGACTATACCTTTGACTCTAAGAGTAAAAGCATACACCCAACCATTTTCGAGAAAACGAGGGAAGAAACTTCGCGAACGTATTTACAATATTTCCTTTTGTTTTAGAATTTAATGTGCGCTATTGGTAACGGATTAGCTTAACGCTTCGATTGTATAGTATCTTTCAAAACATGTTGATACATGTAATGAAACTTTGCATCTTTTGCATCCCTACGTCGGTTCAATACGTTTTTCTCTTTGAACACATTGTGAAAAGTACTTTTCTAATTTTTCTCAGAAAGTATGTCTACAAATGCGGTGAAGGAAATTTAGTGTACTATGTCACGTTTAACTCGATCAGCCGTAAAACGTCTTTGAGACGTTTTGTTTAGATTTGGCCAGGTCAAATACGTATTATGGAATTAAATTCCTTCCTTTTATTTCTTTTCCTTTTTAATAATGTCGATACAATATGTGACATTAAAAAATACTTATCGGCTGATCACTTGTTTGAACTTCCTCGAAATGAGCAAACGGCTATGAATTGATAAAAGCATTTTTATCAATCATCATTTCTCTCAATTTAATATGTTATTTCTACTTCTTCAAGTGTGATGTTCGCGAGAAAGTGTTACTGTTTTAATTTTCGAAAAATGGAGAATGTAAGCGCAAGCTCCCTTTTTCGCTTATAATTTTTGTCCTCGTAACTATTACCTTCGACTTCGTGGAACGCATTTTCGTCGATATGCATAAGCTCTTCATTAATCATTATTTTTTCTCCAATGTTCAGTAAACAATTAATTTAAGAATCTCTTTTCCATAACACAATTATGCTTGCCGCAATCGTTTCTAGTGGCTCTGAGTCAAAGTATCAGTAAATGTATGTGAGTTAGAGAACTTCTGTTTTATGTTGTTAAGTATAGACAGTCTTTTTCTTTTTATACCTTTAATCGTGTTTAATTTAGATTCTGTATTATTTATAGCGCACTCATCGATTGGATTAATTAAAGCTTCTGTAGTAGGTGCGGTTTATTCTCTAAAGTGACGTTTCGATTCTTTTGTTTGAACTGTAGTCAAGGAATATATTTCTTTAGTTCTTCGTCTAGAGCTTGTACTTTAGCTTATTCTTCTAGTAACGTTGATCTCTGTTTAAAACGCACAAATTATATATAGAGTTAGTATATATTTAACGATAAGATTTTATTTTATTCTTTTTAACTTACTTGTAATTTTGTTTTCTTTTTTTCTACAATTTTTTCTAATTGGCTTTCTATGCTTTTTAGATAATATATGCGTTACTGATATCTTCTTTTCTTTCTTTTTGGTATTCCTTTTTTGGTTTGGTAATATCAGAGCATTAAAGTTATCATAATTATCTTATTTATTTTGTATATCTAAAGGTATCTGTGAACAAAATTAAAAATATTTGCAATATTATTACCAAAGAAAAAAGTGATGGAGAATATTGTTTTTTTTTATTGTAAATAAAAATATCTTTTTGGTTTCAATATTATCTATCTCAATTTCAGAGATATTTTGTGCTTTCTAATTGTATCTTCTCTTTCCTATTTTTTAAAATTCAACTCTACTTTTAACCACTTTGAATAATTATTAGAAAAATGACCGAACAAATAATTATTTCACATAAATAACAGTATAAAATTAATTTAAAAATTGAATGTTTCATTATCCATACATAATGGTATTGTGCGCTGCGTTATACCATATTTACAATATTGTTCTACCTTTGTTTACAATATGAAAAATTATAGGTTATATTCTTATCTGTTAATGCTTGAAAGCCATATTTCTTATTCCCACTATTTCTGCTTATTATTTTAAATTAATTAAATAATGATTTAATGATTAATAATCAATGATAAATAATCAAAACAATTCATTAGTAAATCAGATGGATATAAAAATACAAAAACATTAATAAAGCTTATTGTGTATTGAAAAATAAAAATTCATTCGTATTAAACTATAATTAGATAATATATATTTTTATTACCCTTAATAAACAAGGAAAAAAATTAGTTTTTATATCAAAATCTCTAAAAAATTATCTTGATTAAAAAAAAAAAGAGAAGAATAATATAAATATAATTATAAAAAAGAGAAAATCAAAGGAATACATAAAAAAATGAATAAGGGGTATACGCTTAAGAAACTTAATCTACCATTAAATCATTATTTATTTAGTTGCTTTATTGTTATATGTCATATAATAGTTTTGTATCATATATCGCAATTATCATAAATCAAATTTGAAAATAGGCTTTAAATTATAACAATATATCTTAGAGAATAATTGAAGCGCTCCCTGGAATATAGGTCAAAGCCCTCGTATGGTTTTTCATGAGCTTAATTGAAACTTATACGGGGACCGTTTCAATTATAATGTAGTATCGTCGTTATGTATTGAACACTTGCCGAAATCCCCGTCAAGATTTTCAAATGTTCAATTAAAATGAACATTTCATATATCGAGTGTATCTATATTACTTAGTATATCCTACTAGTCCAGCCGAGACAGCAGGTGACACATTCCTATGCACCCTCTTTTCCTCTAGTTGTTTTTTTTTTCTTTTTTTTAATAATAATCATAATATAATAATAAACATTACCACCACAGCAATAATAGTATTACAATAGCACTGTCGCTAAGACACGCTCAGTTATATTACGTGTTGGCGGTCCGCTACCACTTTAATGATGAACAGTATTCATTGATCTGAATAGGAATTCAGTATACGTAATATAATGTATTATTAATACAATCTTATATGTTGGTTCATACCAACATCATTGCTTACATAGATTGGGTTTTAAGAGCCTGGTCATTTCCTTGCGTTGTGCTCAAGTATAAATTTCTCTTTGCTAACAGTCATACGATAATCTGTGCACGTAATAAACTGTCACATGGTGGTGATTATTATCTTGTTAATAAGGACAATCTGAAAATAATATATCCGTATATGCTTGTGTCAGAGAATGGTGAACTAAAGCTCCGAACTAGCATAGTTATCGAATAATGCCAATGCAACACCAAACGTGCGCGTTCGTTGCAATCTATACAATCAGTTCGCTATAGGTTTTTCATTATCATCGCTGCTAACAATGATATTAAACATGAGTTTTATAGAGTGCAGTGGAATTATAGTACTAACAGCATCAATTAAATGATTATGAGCGAGTATAGAGGATATAACAGGAAGAACGAATATATCGATTATACGAAATTACATAGGATTCTGAACTTCCACTTATTTTTATCAATATCTTCCAGCATATGGTTGTATTCAAATTTGAACGCAAAGCCATGGAATATACACGACTTTCGTGAAATTCGCGAAAATATTTAATGATTATATCGCGTCTTCTATATATTAAAGAATTATCATTAACAGCATACTTATATTCAATGAAACTAAAACATATAAGAGTACAGAATATAGAATACAGAAGCTTCAAAGAGACTGCTGATAATGATGAAATAATTGATCATTGGCAAAAGTTTTCCGCATTACGTAGAATTTACTACCGTCCAAATCAAAACTAAACATTTGTCTCTGGTGCATATGTATTACAAGTGTGCATTTTTGCATTATAATATATGCGCACACATTGCATCGAATGGTAAAGAATATTGTATTCGTATTTTGCAAATTGGCAGAGTATTCCAATGATAGAGTGATAGAGTAACAGAGTCACCATCATCAACATCGTTTCAATTCTTGTTGGTTAGTTCTAGAGCGTGCTACTACCGGCGTTAAGGATCGACTTACAAACGAACGAAGTAACTTAATTGTTACATTACTTTCTCTTTTGTCGGTCCTTCGCCGTCATTGATCTGTTCATGCCGTATTCAATATTTATCGGATAATTACTCTAGATAATAGCAATAAGCTGTAGTAAGGATTTGCTATCTTATCTTCTACCATGACAAGTAATATTGAATCTGTAGTTTAATGAATATAATAGGTAGTAATGTAGTTGATGAGCCTAGAAACAACGCTTCGTAATGTCAGTTCCATCTACCGCTACTTTGAATTGTGAATCTATTTCTCTTCATCCAGATCAGACCAAAGCAATATTATCTTCAGATGAGAGATCTGTGTTTAATGAGTCCATTTATTCCACCCCTAAAAAGAGATTAAAATTATATATGTTATCACAGATATTATTATTAATTACAATTATAATATATTACGATAATGAGAGAATGTGCCAGAATATACGATTTAAATATTTGAAGTTATTTCTACAGCGTATGTACCTGAACGAAGTACGCCATTCTATATATTACGAGGAAATTATTATTTATCTTACAAAATTTATGAATTTTCATTATCAAATATAAATAAAAAATATATAAAAATACCGGATGTTGTTGTTTGTCTTGAACAGCATCAGGAATTCCCCAAGAAGGGGCATCTAATTTCGTTGGTTCAGTAGGAGGCATTTCTGCTAGTCCAGGTGCCCCAAATTGTCCAGGCAATAAAGTTAAACCTGGCATTAAAGATAAAGTGGCAGCACTTCCATTAGGAAAAGGTTGCTGAGCGTCCACGTGACCCTATATACAGATATGTAATAATTAACATACAATCATTGGTAAATGTAATAATACCTTTTCTAAAGGTATCAAACTGATATTGAACCGTGGGCCAAATATTCAGTACTTTGTGCGTAGTTAATTTTAACACTATAACGTCCGCATGTTTACTTGGGATTCTTTTGGTTAGCGCCAATAGGATTGACTTAAATCATTTCGCTTGTCGTCGGTGGTTTTTGAAATTAAATTTTTTTTTAAATGTTTCCATGTGTAATTTAATTATTTATTTTGTTTGGAAATTACTTTCTCGCTACTTCGTACATCTTGGATATATTCTCTAAGTGCCTTTTTTTATGCGGTCCCTCACAACACTACAGTGATGTCACCTCACCAGCGCTTGCCCAATTGTTTCGCGTATGACACCAACGTGGTGCCACCAGCATTTGCCTAATAGTTTTGAGCACGTCATCAACGTAGTGTCACCGACATTTGCCCGATAATTTTCGCATGACAGCCCAATGTGGTACCACCGGACGACATAGTGTTAAAAATAGAAGATTTCGTTTGTCAAATCCAACAGAAATTAGATGATATATATACCTGGAAGGAAGATTCTATTATTTGATGAAGTTCGGCATCAACATTAGACATACGGTTGTAGGTAGCATTTGAGCGAAACACTTGATGCCTATCGATGCCAGGAGCTAAATTCGTCCAAGATCCCACTAATTTCTCATTATTAAGCATCCAATTGAGGGATTCGGCATCACCACCAGGTCCCATTCCTGCAGTTGTATAATTCTTCCATGCTCTTTCAGTACCAATCGGCCGTGGAACTTTTCTATCTTCTATTTTTAATTGATTCATTTCTTGTGCCACCTGTGCCGGTGACGATGGTGATATTGTTGGTGAGCCTCCGTTTTCCAGACTTGTAATTAAGTCTATATTACCAGGTTGCGCGGTCATATTCGCCATATGATTCGAAAAACTAATTTGTCCCATCATGGGATCTTGATGCGGAGGATAATTAGTATGAGGAGGTACAAATGGCCAACGAGTTTGAGCATTTGCCGAGATACCAGTAGTAGGTGTTCCACGAGATGGAGCTTGATATTTTCCTAAAGGGAAATTACCCAGCATGGCTAAATTATTGGTTTGCATCGCGGATGGAGGAGGTGCTGGCACGGTAGCAAACATATTAGGGTGAATTCCTGATCCTGTGTTAAACATAGTCACTTGTGGTTTGCTACTCAAGTGCAATGAACTAGAGAAGTCGGGCGCTCTGGGATTCAACCTGGACATACTAACGGTAGTATTTACAGAAGCAGACTGTGGTATAGTCTGCGTATAATTTTGCATATGAGGATGGAAAGGTAATAAAGGATGTGCTGCTTGCCCTTCGTTTGGTACCATTTTAAGCAAACTCGAATTTACGCTTGGATGTTCGTAACTGCCGCTATTAGTTTTAAATAGACCAACATCCAGCGCTGGCTGAGATGTAGAGGGCATAACATGTGGTTGATGTGTTGTCTGATTTCGGGTTGTAAGATCACCTTGAAAGACTGGTCGAGTAAATTGCGTCATTGTTGAACCCATTTCTATAGTTTGCTGAGGAATCACTGGTCGAGCTACAGCTAAACTACCAGGTGGTGGCTTATTCGGAAGAGGATGCTCGCTATAGTTCGCAGAGGATTGGAATTGGGAAGGTTGTATTGGATTATGTACGGAGGATGAAATACCACTACCCATGGCATTTCCAGAAGTATTTGTTACACCACTAGGTTTACTTGAAACAGGAGAACACATAGCTGTTCCTCTGTAACCTGGTGCCTTAGATGCATCCACCTAAACGACCAAATGAATGAGGTTTCACCAACTAGATTATATCATTACCCCAAATTTAGCAATAAATTATTTGCGAATTACTAATGATAAAAACATTTAGAGTAAACTCTACTACAGAAATATTCAATAAGATAATATACTAACCTGAGGTGGAACGCTATCAATGAATTTGGATGTTGATGAACCAGATGTATTTACTGATACTCCACCTCCTGCAACCGTGGCAAAGTTCATGCTTTTTGGAGATTCATTTTCTCTGCCACCCCACATAGATTGCTGTGTCACTTTTGTGAAACTATCGTTAAATAGAGAATATTCGAGTGGTGCATTGTTTGGTTGTTGCTGCTGCTGCAGCTGTTGTTGTTGTTGCTGCTGCTGTTGTTGTTGTTGTTG